CACAGGGGACCTTCAGGCACGTCTGCTGGCATCCTAAGTCACCCCTTGTTTTTCCTTTTCACACTGCAAGCCACACTAGGGCTGCCAGCACCCACAAAGGGTAGGAGCGCTCCTCAGTTATTTGTGTTGATTTCTGCGAGTTACAGGGTCCCTCTCCTTTTTTTGATGAGCTTTGCACACTGCTCTCTATTGATCACATTTTAATAGTGTGACCATTAAACAGCAGTGCGCTTCTCCATTGTTTTTCGTTCCATTGTTTGGATAGATGTCAACAATGCTATGAAGCAAAGTACACATCCCAACTGTGAGGGATATAGGGCTGTAGGCTACAGCAGCCCAGGAAATCAATAACAACTCATGGCAAGATGAAATGGAGCATATTCAGAGAAATTAAAGGAAAATTTGAATTAGTCAACCCAGAAGCGGCACATGAGGAGGACTTGGACTTTCCACCATGACGCTTATCCGAAACAGAAGGCCAAGTCCGCCCTTTAGTAGTTGTAGCAGAAACGGGTAAAATTTCTTTAGTGGCCATCAAAATCTTGTGACCTCATCATCATTGAATCACTTTAGGGAGATCTCAAACATGCAGTTAATGCCAGGCAACCAAAGAAATTACAGGAACTGGAGTTTTTTTGTCAAGAGGAATGGGTAATTTTACCACGTTAGGGATGCACCGATACCGGTATTTTGGTACCGAGTACCGATAATTTTTTTATCAGTACTCGCCGATAGCAATTACCGAGTAACGGTGATACCAATTACCGAGTAACGGAAGTCCCATTCAGGAAGCCAGGTGGCGTGTAATGACTCGCCACCTGGCTTCCTGATTAGCCGGGAAGCCGGGCAGCGTGTAAAGAGTCGCCACCCGGCTTCCCGTTTAACAAAAAAGTCCCCTCTTACCTTAGTATGTGCAGGCTGTCATACCCCGGGGCCTCTCCAGCGAGAAAGCGGCCTTCGTCCGGTACCCAGCCGGAGCCGTCTAGTCGGCCAATCAGGAAGGCGGGCACCGTGTAATGACGCAACGCCCTGCTTTCTGATTGGCCGGGAGGCCGGCTCCATGCTCTCGTCATGAGATGACGAGGGAGCATGAAGCCAGCTTCCCGGCCAATCAGAAAGCAGGGCGTCGCGTCATTACACGGTGCCCGGCTTCCTGATTGGACAGCTCGGGCTGGGTACCGGACGAAGGCCGCATTCTCGCTGGAGAGGCCCCGGGGGATGACAGGCTACACATACTAAGGTAAGGTAACCTTAACTCACGAGGCCCGCTTCCGGTCAATCATGAAACCGGTCAGCGTGTAATGACGCGCTGCCCGGCTTCCTGATATCGGAAGTACTCGTGCTAGGCATCAGAGCATTTGGCCGAGTACTTGCCCATATACTCGGAATCGGCACCGATATCGATACTAGTATCGGTGCATCCCTATACCACGTGATAAAATAAAGGGCCCATCACAAAAAACTTCAAGCGGTCATAGATGCTGAAATGGATATTAAGAATTAGGTGTATACAAAAATCTGAACAGGATCATTTTTAATATTTTCCCTTTATTGTTATGGTTTGTTTAAAGCGACACTAAATTCTGGAGTTAAACCTTAAAAATGCATTCAAGTACCATAACCATTAACAAAAATGTTAAGGAGGCAGCTGCCATGCCCCAGTGAAGTGGAAATGTGGAGCCCCCTCCATGTGATCGCAATGAAGAACAAAAAAAACACCACACCAAAAAAAACCAAAAAACAGTAAATTGAAGAAAAAAAAAAAAAAAAAGTCCCACCGGATGCACTAATGGAAACACAAAACACAAGTTGGGTGCACTTAGCACTTACTTACGAAAATTACGATTGCACTACACATGTCAGGTATTGCCGCATGTGCCAAAGTGAGAGCAATAATCCTTGGGATCAATATTCATGGCTAACTCTAAACTATTATTTTAAACCTATAAAACGAAATAAAATGTCTAATATAATGCATACAATTATTTTAAAAAAAAAGTGTAAAAAGGTAATTTTTCTTTTCAGCCTGAAAAATTCTGCTGTGGGATGTGCGTTGTGGTGCCATTTATTTCAGTGGCACCCCAAATGTGCATCCCGCCCGCAGTGGAACGTGTGGTATGAATAAATACAGCTAAACAGGAAGAAACATACCTCTAACTCTGGACTTGATGAGACATTTTCCCCATTCATGTAGGAATTATTCTGGAATGAAAAACCATTATATTACAATGTAAACCAATTCTAGGAAGTAAAAAATGCTTCTCATTATTCCAAGTTTCAACTTTACTTTTTCAGAAGAGGAAAAAAAGGCCAACCGCAGCTTTTCAACACAAAAAAAGCAATTTGCTTCAATAATCACCTATTCTGTATACCTCGCAGGAATTCCTTTCAGCCACTGGATGTTTTCTCAACACTGAGGACATCCTGTGAGGACCCACCCCTGAGGAGACATCACCACAACGCACTGCATTCACATACAATGATATACCCCAGAGTGTGGCTTTACTGTGGGGTTCTGGAATTAAAATCGGTCCCAGTATTTATCTAGTTTGATCAGGAGTTCTAGCTTCCCCCTACTCTACAAACAAAAGCATTTTTTATTTGTCCGTGTATCCCCTCATGTCCAATCTGGTAAAACTGTTGTCACTGGGATAGTAAGCGAAGGGAAATCTCTTAACCATATAATAGTAAGAGACAACGGGGGTTCTAAACCTTCCCTAAACTATCACAAAAAAAAAAAATGGGACCCACACTTTCACAGCTTCAACCAAACCTTGCTACGTGCAGCCTTTACCATATGCATAATGTAGCATTATTTTAGGTTTAAAAAATGACATTAACAGCGCCACTCCACTATCTTTACTGGCCTCCATTATGAGAGAACAACATATGTCACATAGCACTACATATTCTTGAATCACATGATGTTTTCTGGACAGAAACAAAAGGTTTACCTACTTGTGACACCAGTCCATTCAGTTGTTCAGAAAGCTGTCTTAGACTGTCCGTTGATGAGACAAACCTAGTAAAAAGTAGACATTATAACCACAAGTGTAGTTTTCCCCCCCCCCTTCTGTTCATAATAATGCAGTATACTATAAGGAATGTTGTATTTCCTGTTATTGGGAAAATAAGCATGAGTTCAAGATGGAGTCACCCAAAACAGATATTCCCGGTTTAGTCTGATATTCTGACTGACTTATCCACTGACTTCTTACATTTTGGTGATCCAATAAAGAGATGGTCACAAACCAATTCCCAGCTCCTCCCACATGCTGATGAAATTGCAATGGTGTCACTCTTACAGCAGGATATTTTATCATAGATACATTATAGGTAATTTAGCAAGAAGACTAATTCCACCCTCTGCAGTGGGAGAAGAATGGGGACCACATACAAAATTTGTGAGGACCAATTCTTGGTGTTCATGTGTGCTCTTAGCCACTTCCATCGCATCATGGGAAGGAGGGCCTAGTGATTTTAGGCCCCATTATAACACCTACTAGTCCAATGTCAGACACCAATAAACTCTCTGACAACAAGCTGTATTACAATGAAGACAGGCAATGGACATGGACTACAGGTGACTTAAAGTGATATTAAACCCCAATTTTTATTTATGCCTTTCTGCTGTCACCACTTTCACTGCACACAGCTTGTCCTACTAAAACTATTCTTCCATCTTCTTTGGTTAACTCCCATGGTCACTGTCCCCACTTTACCATTTGCAGGTAGATGCATTCTCTTGCGGGGTCCCATAAAGACACCCATTCGTGTGCACTCCCGTCACACACAGGCAGCTGGGTGCACATGCACGGTGGTGCATGGCATCATGGAATGCAGTGCTGTGGAGATGTGCATGCGCAGTGGCGCATGGCATCATTGAATGTAGTGCTGTGGAGATGTGCATGCGCAGTGGCGCATGGCATCATTGAATGTAGCCCGTGGGGGTGGAAGGATCTTTCAAAGAAGTGATGAATGTGACAGCCAGAGGTTCTGGGAAGCGGCACACAGGAACCCAGAGGTTGTGGCGGTAAAGAATCAACATAGTTTCTGGCCTAGATGTGCATGCGCAGTGGCGCATGGCATCATTGAATGTAGCCCGTGGGGGTGGAAGGATCTTTCAAAGAAGTGATGAATGTGACAGCCAGAGGTTCTGGGAAGCGGCACACAGGAACCCAGAGGTTGTGGCGGTAAAGAATCAACATAGTTTCTGGCCTTCTTCAAAAGCAGGTATGGTCTACAGCTCAAATGCCCCATACCAGTGTTTATACGACAAAAAGTGTGAGGCTTTAGTACTACTTTGACAGGGACACACATTAAAAAAGAATAACCCAAGAATTAGTCTTCAGTTCAGCAGTATAGTTAGCTTCACAAGGTTTAGAACTGGAGCCAAAACCGAATCATAATGTTCTTTAAGGCTGGGTTCACACTTGGGCGTACTATAGGCGCGTTTTTTTAGTTCAGTGTAACGCGTGTTCGACACTTGTTTTTATACCTCCCTGGCGGTATGAATTTTTTATTTTTCCTTTATTTTCTCTGTTTTTTAACTTTCAAACTTCCCGCCAGTTTCGCCCCCCTGCGATGCGGACGCTCGCAAGGGAAAGAACCCGGAAGACGGCAGCGGCCAGAGGACACAGCGGGGCTCGCGGACAAGGCAAGACCTACGCTGTATTCCCGAGTGTCGCTCGGGGTTACCGCTTTGTTGACCCCGAGCCACACTGGGGAACAATGGATACGCGCTGAAATACGCCCGAAAGAAGCTCCTGTATTTGTTTGGGCGTAGGGCGTTTTTCAGGGCGTTTCCACGGGCTGAAATACGCCCAGGTGGGAACCATGCCCATAGGAAATGATGGGATTTCACTTGCTGAGCGTTTTTCAGCGATTCGATCAGCGCTGAAAAAAGCCCAGGTGTGAACCCAGCCTTAGAGCCAAGAAGGTACCTCCAGAACTTTGTTGGATCATCCAGAAATAATTTTAAAGTCATGTAACCCAAAACACATACGGAGGACATTGCACTTACTTGTTTCCATCTGATGTCACCTTTTTACCATCCAAGTCATTCTGCTGGGGAACAAGAAATCAGGGGTATTACCAGGAGCAAGGAAACAAACACCAGAAATGGAAAAAGCAGAAGAGAAATAACAGTCCCACCAAATTATCTTCCCACAGCCAACACAAGCCAGCGAAGCATGCTAAAGCAGAGAGGACTCCCAATACCAGAACATGATACAAGTAACAGGAATGAAATATCACCTACTTCATGCCAAAGTAAACACTAATTGGGTGTAAACATGAAATTACGTTGCACTGGGTGTATCTGCGTATTCAAGGAATGTTAATAAGTTTCCAGGCATTAGTTTGCCACATTGGAAGCCAGAATACTGCTCTATTTTTCAGCAATTTGCCACATAACCAGGAAATACAAATTTGGCACAGAGAATTTAAAATTACTCAAAGAGCAAGTGAAATGTTAAGAAGCAGCAAGGTTCTCCTAAAAGGAGTTTTCAAGTCCTAGAGTGCGGTCTAAAACACATACGCCAAGTAGAGGGCTGGCCTGCCATAGGTGCTTCAACATGATAGGTTACCTTACCTCAATGACCAATAGGACACTGCGTAAGGATACAGGCCAACACTCACTCAGCAATAGTTAATCACTTACTAGATCTAGTCAGGGCAAGCACCTGAGAGTTATGGCAGTACATTTATGGTGCCACTTTAGGTGCAGACATATTTAATGGTAGCTGCCTGTATGGCAAACATTTAAAGAAAAAGATGAGAAAAGACTGAAGAGATTTCCTACATAGGAGCAGAACCCACAACACAAAGCAATTTCTACAATGCCACAGCCAAAACAGAGGATTTATGTACATTGGCCAAGATCAGAATTGGGGAGAGACAGGTTTAAGAATTAGCACTGCTCAGGACAGGACAGTCAGGAAGTGTGTGGTAGCTGCACACCTCAGCCAGTGGGTTATCAAAGTCAGTTTCGGTTGGGGTTTTAGTATTATCGTAGACATCCTCTGATAGGATTTCAACGTCATGAGCAACATCTTGCTCCAAGATCACCTGTCAGGACACAGAACATGGATTAGTGATGTAGATGAAGCCTCTTCAACACAAAGGTTTTGCATTAGAAGACAACAAACCATGAAAATGTGCAGACAAAAACAAACAGTAGAAAGAGTTGACAGAACCAAAAACATTTAAACAAATTATACAATTAGCATTTCTTTGCAGCCTCTACAGAATCAGTCACTGCCCTGCCCCAGTGGAGATTACAATCTTAACATCAGTACAGACATACAGGTACATACAAATAAACATCCCCAACAGCTGGAGAGAGTGACCACAGAAAAAAGTAAAAAACATTTGTAACACTGAAAGACTAGTTCTACAGAGAGGAAGTGGTGCCTGCCCAAAGTTGGACAGCAGTGTTTCAACTGTGTATTCGGCTACTTCACCAGCTTTCTGTTAAAAGGTTTAATTTTAGGTAAATCGAATATAAAACGTTTTCATTTTAGATGCACGAAGCACACACTAGGGGGCTGTGGTGCCTTCACCTTCGTCACACAAAAAGACACTAAAGCTGGCCATACACTATGCAAATTTGGTCCGGTTCTTGGTCGGTGCCGCTGTCAGCACTCTTTCAGCAGACATCCTTCGATCAGCTGATAAAAGGAGCCAGTTGGAAAAACGTGGAACGAATAGGGCCAGCAGCCAATGAGCTTTGGGTATTCTGACAGCTAGAGGTTCCTCGATCAACACTTTAAGCATTGGAGGAATCGGTAATATTTTCTTTGTTCTGCCCACAGGTTGAAGAAATTACTACAATGTATGGGCAGCTTAAGGCAACAGACTTCCGATTCACTACCATGTATTATGGGGCACATCCATTTTTAGATCTGTTGTGGTGCAATGGCCACCTATTCAAATGAATGGGCTGCCGTAACACAGGTTAACATGCAACATAACCTGATTTAATGCACTTCAACAGACCAGGTAGACGTGAATGGGCTCAGAGTAGGGTGGACTACGTAAACTGCAGCCGGTTTCTCTTTTTAATTCCCCCTATTTCCTATTGTCTCGGTCACCCATCTCCAGGAAGAAATGAGTAGAACCTCCCTACCCGGACAACCTGAGAATTATACGTTTCCATAATTTCTTGTTCTGGTGGCAAAAATCACCTCATTTTTGGGATAAGCAGCAAAGAGGTTTCAACTCTTCCTCAACCAACAAAACCAAATAAAAAAAAAACAAAAAACACACAACAACCCATAATGATGTTGCCCTTTAAAAACGTTCTGACCTCCATACTGTACATGTCTTGGATATAGAGAACGGATTAGTAATGGGCAACTGGCCACATTTTGCAGACCTCAATTGGCTTCCTGACACTTTAGTGAAAGCCCATAACATTAAAGAGAGCGTAGAGTATTAATTCCCAATAACATAGGGGTAACGTGTTCTGCAATCCATAGAGAGAACTGGGCAGAGCCAACGCTGCTTGGGATTTCAATGCGGTAGAGTCCATGGGAAGTTAGGAGCACACCGGATATCTGGCAATCAACAGGTATTTTTCTGTATTAAAAAGGGATGAAATCTGGATATGTGAATGTTCTGCAAAAGGTGTACGTTAAAGTCAAAAATATAAAAACCGAATGCAAAAAAAAAAAAGGCATGCGGTCCCTCCAAAATCCATACAAGACCCGTATAGGAAATACAGGTCTGGTGTGGATGCAGAACTCACAAGTAAAAAAAAAAAAAAACACAAAGTAGGGTGTCCCCCCCCTTCACATCAGAGTCTTCATAACATCACAGCCGCCCTTCCAGATCACATCATTAGCCTTCCTCGCATCAGAGGCATGACTGTGTAAAAATTTCAAGGCACCCCTGAGGAAGCCAAAAAGGCACAGCACCTTGGTTGAGAAAAGATGCTCTAGGAAATTAACCCCTTAGTGACACTGCTTCATAACATTTTTTAGTTCTTGGGGACCGGAGCAATTTTGCAATTTTTGCTATGTGTTTGTTTAACCATCATTTGCATCTCCCTCATTAATTTCTTATTTTTTTAATAGAAAATGTATTTTTTTTAAAATGCAAATGGGAAAAAAAAACCCCACAAACCCATTTTTCAGTTTTGGCAATAATAATGTGCACATAGTTAGTGTAGCTAACAAAGTAATTAATAATAAGTTATTTTATTTGTCCTGACTTATGGGATATATCATATATCTGAGATTTCATTTTATTTGGGGAGTTCTAGGGTCACAAAATACAAGGAGTGAAAAAGAATTTTCGTATGTAACAATCTTAGAATGTGGTATGTTTGTCTCCTAACTTTAATAGCCTCCTCAGCACTATATTTTCTTATCTTTTATTATTAAACATTTTTTTCCCCACTTTCTTTAACCAATTGCCGTCCACCCGTTGCAAAAAAACGTCACATTGGCGGGTTGCAGTCTCCAGACGGCATTTTTTTTCTGCTCGCACATAGGCAGAAAAAACCCATCCAATGTAAAGAGCCGTTATCGGCTGTTTCACATATACACGATCGGCGGCTCTATAGCCTGGGTCCCCAGGTGACATTAGGTGTCATAGAGACCCCTAATGCCTCCATAAAGAGGACCTGTCAGTGTGCCATTGCTATTATATAGGGGGATTTTTATCCCCCCCTATGATATAGCAATGACATTAAGTGTAAAAAAACATGAGTCTTTCCACGGTGCTGAGCATGCTTACAAGGACACAAAGATTAATTAATTTATATGGTGCAGTTCCTTCACTGCCCAATCAGCAGAATGGGAGGAAAGAGGTGACAACGGAAGCAGGATTTCAGCAGACTATGACAGCCATCCATTATATGGGCAAGTACCAGAACCATGCTTTCTAATAGTAGTGACTATTGAACGGTGCACAAGGGGGATGAGTGCAGCTATTGGGCATGATATGTGTGTGTGAGGGATGATATTGGGATCCGGAGATTATAGATTTTAACCTGGAATTCAGCTTTGTCAAAGATAGGTAGTCTATGTGAACTATGGTATTTTTGTAGATAAGCCCACCAAGTACTGGAAGCAACTGAACAGAGTCCCACAACATTATCAGAAAGCTGTTTTCCTGGCAAACAAGGGATTTCTTTCCATTCTGCCTTTGCTGGTACAGAGATTTGTTATACAAGACTATTAGACCCTATTACACAGCACTCTTCATAAACACATATATGTACATAATGAAGTCATCCATCTCATGTAGCAGCAAGTGACGTGTCAGCGTGCATGGGTGGAGTTCCTGTTTGACAAGTTAGGGAGTAGTTGGCATATAGGATAAGAAGGGAGGAGCTCGGACACCTAAGAAACACATTTTACTTTCTTCCACTTTCCTGACTGGGTTTAAAGAAACAACTCTGGGTACAAATTTGCTTAAAAAGGAGAACTATGAGGTGAGCGATTTCCACTACTCATAGTTAGAGCCGACCTGTGACATTGAAACTGTCATATGTCGACTCTATAGATCGGGAAGTGAACGAACATATGCCATCGCTCGCTCACTTCCCGATCATCTGCCTGCAGAGAGCGGTGACTGTCAGAGAGAGGCTCCAGGGACCGGTCTAAGAGCCAGCTGACTTCAAGGACCGGGTGTGTATAAATATGTGACCCTAGACAAAAACAAGCAAATAACCCCATGCAGCGTGGGGGTAGCCCACTACAAGGGTTAATAGAATGTTTCCAGAGTTCTGCTTTAAGAGTTAGGGGTGAACTAGACTAAAAAGGACAAAACTGATTTATTGCAGCTTACAAGTTCTGAAATGTGATGGCTGCATTAGGTTTCATTTTTCAGCAAGTAGAGAAAACTGCCTGTTGATCCTGTCAGAAATGCAGTCTCATGTAATAAAGATTAGCAAATGCAGACTGGTCTAAAGTCAAACCTGTGTGACAACCATGGCCACATACACACAGCGAGTGTAGCCACTCAAGGACAGGAAGTTTGTTATTTATAGATTACTACCGTATATAAAAAGAAAAGGAAAAACAGAAAAGAAAAAAAAAGAAAAATGGATTCTCCAACTTGTACATTAGATGACCAAAATGTGAAGCTTTTCTCTATACTGACACCATAATCTCTTACCTGTGCCGAGATCATACTAGAAGCAGCCACATAAACAGCAGCCTATTTCCTGCGTCTAAAAAAGCCAGGAGGCTCGGAGAGCAGAGTCGTCATCATCAGCACAGGAATGTCAGCTTGCTGCTTGTGACAACTGTTTGAACAGAAGTGACACTGATATGCTTGATTTGAAACAAGCCTTATATCCTGCCAGGGCTATTTCAGAGGCGCGAACCAGCAAATGGCAGGATCAGTCATCAAAAGCCAGCGGCAGATAAATCAGTCTTTGTTGCCACCGAGGCCAAGTACAGCCAGCAGGAGAAACCAATAATCCTATTCAGTCACAAGCTGCAGTTTTGGCTGCCGACCGTCTGGTTATGTACGCTTTCTCTTTATTCCAAAATCCCTGCTCTCTAGTCATCCAGGTACCTTGTATTTATGACAACGCTAAGAAGCAGAGAGGAGGTCTTCTTCTCAAGGTACATTTGCCTATAACGGCATTAAGGAATGATTTAGCTGCATCACCCGCCATTCTTAACACGGAATGGAAGTTTGTGTCTTGTATTTGCTTTGTAGTGAGGACACCAAGTGTTAGAGTCAATTCACAGACTGGATAATCACATAGTAAACTCGGGAGTTAAACCTTAGGCTAGGCGCACACCAGATGGAATGCGTTCGGGCCCGATTCTGGCCAGAAAGCACTGCATTGCAGTCGGCTCACTTTTTTGTGGGGCATGACGGGCCATTGAAGTGAATGGCACCGTGGCCACGCCCTTCGGCCGCACGGGATCGCAAGGCACGTTGCGCCTGCGGTCCGGTGCAGTGTTATCAAAATAGTGCTTGCAGCTTTTTTTTGCAGCCTTTTGTGCTTGCAGCATTTTGATCACACCGCACTGGACCGGAGGCACAATGTGCCTTGCGATCCCGTGCGGCCAGAGGGCGTGGCTACGGTCCATCCACTCCAA